ATTTCGGTTCGATTTAATTTGGTTCCAGTTTGGGTTGGTTCGGGTTTACCGAACCGTTGCCCACCCCTATCTTGCATCCATCTTTGGTTGTAAGATGTCTTCATTGTAGCTCCACATTTCTTAGGAGCCGCTAGTGGGTGACAAGCCACATAAAAGGTCTTATATGTTGCATTGCCTACACATGCGACAAAGCTCGCTAGGTTAGGTGTTGTTTAGAAGGTGGGATCTCGTCGCTTGTGATGGGATAAGCCATTCAAAATGAAAACTTGTCTTCTGCCGAGTATCTTCAACACCTGAAATTGTCCTCTTACTCATCCGATACTGGGTGGAAGAAGACATACGATGAAATATTAGAATGTAAGTAGTGTTTAATAAAGTTATATTTCAACACTCAATATATATACCACCCGGGTTGATATTGAAATACTTACCCTATCCTACACCCTTATAGGTTGCACTTAGCATGAAGTTGGGATTAAGAGTAGTGATAGCGCGAGTCACTATTCAATATGAATCGGCCGCTCTAGGGTTTATAAAGGTAGATCAGAGGTCTTCATAGTGTATGCCATGAGGGATGGCATAACATATTAGGCCAACATGATGATTGTCACTAAACTCATTATCGATGCCTTACAACCTGCAAGACGAGTCAAATTTATTAGTAAGGTCAATATAGTTGCTTTTGAAAATCTATCATGGATAACGGGTAATCCGTGGTAACACCCTAGATTCTCTGGTTGGGGAATCTCCTCGTCTGCACTCAATGGCATCTTTTGCTCCAAGCTAACACTACTTGAGAAGAAGATACGAGACTTGGCTTGCTGATTTATTATCCGGGACAAGCTCCAAATGTCTCAAAGCAGTAAATAATGGCTTGGACCTATATACTCAATGCTTCATCAAAGATGATTAGGCCAACTACAAAAAATAGGCGAGATAAGGACAGAACCGTACTGCCCAGCTTGATTGGCTACCAATATTTAGACCTTGCAGACTCGTTGATGAGTTGTCCTTATCTTTCCCTACATAGAGTAAAGATATAGGGCGAAAGTGGACAACAGTTTCGAAGACCTCGAGAAGGAGTGAATGACTTAATCACCCTTTTGTTCCATTGGAACTACATCATTGATGACCTGATACATGCCATGGTGAGATTGATGAAGTTGGTTGGGGTGCATGCTTCTTGAAGAGTGTTTTGAACGAAATTTCAACAAATCCAATCGTAAACCTTGACCAGATTAATATTTCTAAACATCCATCTCCATCTACCTTTCTTGGACTATATTGAATGAATTACCTTTTGGAGGATACAAATGTTGTTTATAGTGTGACGACTTGGAACGAAGTTAGTCTTGGTTTCATGAACTAGAAGGGGAATAAATGTTCCAATCAATTCGCAACACATTTCATTAAAGCTTTATAAGCTACATTGTAAAGGCCTATTAAACATAATGGTGAAATTAATGGCTTGGATGTTCCTCAGATCCTCCAATAATGTTAGCTAATACAGGTAGAGATTCTTCAACTGTGGCCTAATATTTTTGAAAAAAATATACAGCTGAAGCCATCTTTTCCTGGCCATTTCATGACACCCATTATAACACTCAAATTATAGTATTCTCCAACTCCTATATTTGATTCTTTTCCCCTTTTTATGATGTATCTTTAGTAGTTTTTTATATTTTCTATGAATTTTCCAACTATTTGACCAATGAGCTTATATTAGACATTGATTTTGTAGTATCATTCTTTTATGCCTTTTGGTATTATTTTATGCTTTTCCATGTAAAATCTAATTAAGGATGATTTGGATCACGAATGGGATAAAGTTGGATGACTAAAGGATTAATGTCTAGAAGAATAAGGAGGTTTTCGTATATCAACAAAGTCCAAATGAGTTGAAACCCTAGTGGGGGCCGTTTGAGCCCAAGAGAAGCTTGTTGAATAATAATAAGAATGAATGGAGGAAGCCTACCATGGCAGGTCCAACTGCCGTCCCACTACCACCAGGCCAAGCAAGCTCAGTTCTGCCTAATTTCATGTAGGAGTTATCTTCTCGGTGAAGCAACCAAGATCCACAAAGAAACCCATGATGAGTCTGATTCACGACCACTACAACACTATCCCAACTATAGGTCAAGTGCAACCTATAATCGAGTATAGGATAGGATAAGTATTTCAATATCAACCCAAAATACTATCTATCCTATAATCAGTTTGCTTGTCCACTTCACGGTCTGTCGCCCGTGATAATAGAACCGAAACAGTGATCCTTGCACTTTCATCCATTTTTTTTCCCTTTTTGCCATATTATGTTTGACTTTCGATCCTTGTGCCACAATTACCTTCTAAGGTATGAAACATGACACAACACGAACAAACCGAGTGTAAAATAACTCTAAGAATTGTACAAACCAAGACAAATGGTGCAAGGTAAGGGGTATAAAAGTGTGTAATCTATCTCGAATCAAACCTCTCTACACTTGAACGCTTGCTTGTCCCCAACAAACCTGCTCGAACTAGTACAACTTGTAGAACAAAAACAATGGTATGTACTATCAATCATCGGTGGCGCCAAACAAATAATCAAAGTCGGGTAAACTCTAATTCCATCTCTTCATGACATGCACACTCTCGATTGAGGACCTTGTCAACTAAGGAGGTCTAGATACTTCACGTATGCACTAGAGGACTCATAGAAAACATGTGAAAACTGAAGGACTCCTTGGTGGTGCTCCCACTTTTCAAAAAAGAACTCAATTTTTCGAGCCTCAACTTAAAATTTCCATGCATGGCACCACACTTTGTAGTTTTTCAAATCATGGCATCTCTCTCTCGTGACCAAGAGTGAAAGGTACATTGCCTTACCATTCTCGGCCTCATGAGGGGCACATGATCGTCAGATTAATTTTTCGAGCACCACTTCCTAACCTGCACTCCACGTCTCAACGACAAATGGGTTGCCACACATGTTGGGAGCGAACGAGAGCCGAGGTCTCATGACTCGCTCAAAGGCGCACTATCTCCTCTCCATACGAGTCCGTGAGGAGGATAGGTGTTTGGGGGGACGAAAGGTAGTGAAAGATGATCGAGACGCTAGAAACTCTTCTGATCCCGAAACACATCCTCCAATAGCACTCCGAACCGGGAGAAGAGCCCTTCGATAACTCAACTCAAACACTATACCTGGTTTTCTCTCACGTGAGAACCTTAGTTTTTGAAAAGTATTTGTTTACACTGGAGTGCTTTTGCAAAAAATGTGGAGTCCCAAATTGGGGAGTCCCACACATATGTTCTAACCTCCATAAAAAACACTTTCACACAACCGACAGGAAATTGAAATAAATCCTCTCATTATCAAGAATTTTCATGACACCAAACTATTTCCTATAATGCACACCATTATAATCATCAAACAATTTGAAGCACACTAAGCAATATCATGCTAGGGATAATTGTGATTGGAACCCTACAATTTTCAATTCAAGCAACAATCTAGGTTCCAAAGCACATCTCAATATCAACCATTCATCATTCATTCATGAACAAGTGATTAGAGCCCTCAAATTGTAGAAATTTGGCAATCACACGACTCCAACATATTCAAATAGGACATTCACACTCATTATTCACACGCCAATCACAAATTTATGTACACTCCCCACCCTTAAGCACGATATTGTCCCAAATAGAGCAAAGAGAAGTGTGGAACGAATTTACCGTATCAATTGGAGAATGAAATTCGGACTGGAGATGGACCGGGTTCGAGGGAGAGAGCTTCACAAGGAGACAAACAAAAACACATACTCGCACAAGGCGGGGTTATTACACAATACCATTATTCAACATCACACGGAAAAGAAAAACATCTACCATTGTTGGGTTGCATCCCAACAAGTGCTTATTTCACGTAGTAACTAGACGGATGCAACTCAAAATAGATCATGTGTGGAGTACGTGAATGGAGTGCAAATTTTTGTCTCTTTTGCATTTGATAATATCTAAGATGAAGATATGAATGTCCTTATGTGGACTGTAATAATAATTTCATAAGGGAGAACAATAAGTCGAACAACATCTTCTATTTAGAGGAATAAGGCGGGATGAAACTAAGTTGATTTTATCATGGAGAGCACGATGATGATTCTAGCGAGGAGGATGAAGATAGTTATGGTGATGATGATAATAAGATAGATGTTTACGATATGCATGGGTGACCCAATGACCTCATACCTCAACTAGATCCTCTGTCGCTAGAACCCAATGAAGAAGCCAAGAACTTGTTTAGACTTCTCGGAGAAGTTGAATCGCCATTGTATGCAGGGTGTGATCAGAACCTCTCCAGCCTATCTTTCCTCGTTAAGTTTAGGGCTAATACCACTACAACACCCGAACTATCCCAAAAATGCCACTTGTGTCCTATTGTTTCCAATATTCCATCTGTGTCATGAACTATTATATTTTGTGCCATTTGTATCCTGCCAATTTCGTTGACCGTAAAGATAACAGTTGACCAAACGGCGGTCAACTTAACATTGACTTTTGTTGATGTGGCAATGCCAAGTCATTGACACCTCACATTTTTAATTTAAATTAAATTAAATAAAGCTATGAAAATAAAAAATTGAAAAAACCCCTCATAAATCCCCTCGTCGTATCCTCTCTTCCAATTCCTCTTCTTCACCTGCCAAAGCCTCCATTGCCGGCTGCCCGGCCGGAAAACCATGGATTGGAAGCCCCAACCTGAAGCTTCCACTAACAATCTGCTATGAACCTAACCCCAAAGCCATCCCCTGCAGTGAAAGAAGCTGGGCTTCTTCGAGACCTAATCCATTAAGCTTATCGTTCCTTCTCTTAGTCACGACAGTGGCGGCGACACCAAAGGGAAGAAAGCGACATTTGGGGGTTGCTTTTTCTGTTGAATCAATTAGATGGATTAATTGAGGAGGTTGGTGGCGTTGGAATTTTGCCCTTGCAAATCGCTCCAATTGAAGGTAGGCATGGAAGGGAGGAGGTGGTCGGGGGGGATAGAGCCGGGTTTTCGCCATGGGAGGGTGCTGAAACTTCATCTGGTGCAGAATGATAAGAAGATTTGGGGTGTCGAATCGAGGTTGTTGTGTCGAATCGGAGTGGTGGCAGAGTGGGAGGAGTGTTGTGGTGGCGGATTTGGTTCAGGATTAGTGCGTTCAGAACTGGAGGTTCATAGTAGAGAAGATCTACCAAGATCGAGAATCTGGTCTCCTCAATCCCTTCAATTGAGTTCTCCCACAAATCCACCGACCCAGGTTTCTTCGCCGCTGCAAGTTAAGCGTCTCTAACTTTCTTCTCGGATTTGGATTTGCATACCCAAATCTGAAATCTCGGATCCCTAACTTTATCCCTCAATCCCAATCTCGATTCTTCTCCCAGACCCCAGCCCGACTCCGACTTCGTTCACCTCGATCGATTTCCAACACTTAGGACAGGGGCACAAGGCTTTGTCATAGTCGAGGAAGACCCTACTATGGAGGAAGGAGAACAACATCGATTCCATCCTCGAAGAAGGCAACGAAGCTGTTCGTTGAATAAGGGGAATCGTTGAAGGGAGGAGAGGAGACATGGACGAGAGGAGAGATGAAGCGTATAAGTTTTTTATTTTTATTTTTATTTTTGTAATTTTACTTTTTTTTTAATTTTGGTTAAAAAATAATAATTAAATTTAAAATTCCATGTCAGATGCCACGTCAGCGTTGACTAAACTTTCTGTTAAATACTAACGGTCAAAGCCAGTCAACACTAACGGAATAATAGTTCAGGACACAGATGGAATATTGGAAACAATAGGACACAAGTGGCATTTTCGGGATAGTTTGGGTGTCGTAGTGGTATTAGCTCTTAAGTTTATGCACTTAAAGTGGTACAATTCTTGGAGTGATACTTATTTTTTTACCCAATTGTTGAAGGTGCTTCAAGCTGCATTTCTTATGGAGACTCAGTCACGGCCAAAGATTTTTTTTTATATAATGGTGATGGTGTATTAATAAAGGAAAGAAGTACAAAACGATGACTACGGCAAAGGCTCAAAAGACTGAACCTGCCCAACAACGTCTATGATTTATTATGCAGCAAAGGCTCAAAACGATGACTACTGCCAAAGATTTATTATGCAGCAAAGCAGCAGATGAAAGTAGGGATGCCAATTGAACACGAATCCATGAGTACCCAACCATGTCAAAGTGAATAAAACCCGATGTTGATAGATTTTGGGTCGGGTGCGGATTTACCCGCTTTTTTGAAGTAGATTTTACCCGCTTTTGAAATTGAACGGTTGGCTTGGGTTTTGCCAAAATCTCGGCCTCTTTCCACCCCACTCGCACTCATAAAGTAAAACAATGTCATTCTGTATCTTACCAGAAATATGAATAGTTTATAAATGCCATTAGTCTCTATAACAATATAAACCTAATCATATGAATAATTTAGGGATGTCAGTTGTCTTTATAAAGATATATTTATAGATTTTTTTTTAGAATATTACGATGTGAGTGTTCGAAGAAATAATTATTTTTAATGAGTGCATCCACACTATTGAATTTGGGTTTAGAAAAATTTGATCCAATCCAACTTTTTTTTGGGGTGAGAAACATAGCACTAAGGGCACTCCAACCTTTATTCAATGATCAAACGGGTGGTCTGAACCCCCAAGAATGTCATGATACAACCAATACGACAGCCTACTATCAGGAAAAGCAACAAAATGTCTGCCTATAGGGTATGAGTGACCGAGACCGGCAAGTAATCAGCGACTATGTTCGCCTCTCTGTAGACATGGGTGATGTGGACCACCTAATTGCGCTGTAACCATTGCCGAATCTCGGCAATAGTGGTGTAGTGGAGATGCTCCGGCGTTGCCAATTCTATGAGAGATGCTGCCATTGTCGAGTCAGTCTGAAGAAGAACCTTCCTAGTTCCTGCATCCCAGGCGATCCGAAGCCCATGCACAATCCCGGCTAGTTCTGCACTTGCAATGGAACCGCCAAGGTTTGTTGTGTAAGCTGAGATTAGGCAGCCCCCCCCCCCCCCCCCCCCCCCCCCCCCCCCCCCCCCCCCCCCCCCCCCCCGGCAAGACGACGCCTGCAACTGTTCTGCCAGTAGAGGTTATCAACGATCCATCAGTGTTTAGGCACGTCCAGCCTGTAGGTGGTGTAGTCCAACCTATATCTCTCGGTGTTTGGAGTCCCCCGGCTCCGAAAACGACATTGTTCTTCTCAGTGGCTTGAAAGATTTGTTGCCGTAGCTGCGCAGCTTTCCCTTGCATGTGTGCATGGGACCTCAAATCTCCCTCGAAGCAGTACCTATTCCGGTTCTTCCACAGTAACCAACACATGGTGATGAAGTAAGTGCAGAGTCCAGAACTCGGCTTCGCCCTACCATATAGTGAGACATCCAACAGTCCAAGTTAGGAGTAAAAAATTCCCCATCTGGTTCATTGCTAAGTGAATCTGCCCACATAGCCCTGGCAAACGGACAGTCTCGGAGAATGTTAAGAGTCGTCTCCGACCCTCCTCCACAAATGTTGCAGCTGTCGTCCGTGGTAAGGTGGCGCCTGACTCTTTCCGCGTTGGTAAGTAGTTTCTCGTGCGCCATCAATTAGAGGAAAGTTCTCGTCCTCAGTAATGTTGGAACTCTCCAAGTAGAACGCCACTTAGGATGCTGTTGTGGAGTGTTTGCATCCTCCTCTCCCATGAGCTCATACGCCGACTTGAAAGTGAACCGACCGTACGCAGCAAAACGCCAGCAACGAACGTCATCCTCATCGCCTCTAGGCACCGGATGAAGGAGAATTTGCGAAGCAACAACAGCTGGTAAGAAATGTTGAATATAAACGTGGTTCCACTCACCGTTCAAGACGAAGTCCGCCACTCATATGTCCAAGGCTTCTGCGGGAACATCCGGCCCATATGCTTCGAGAGGTTCGCCATCAGAAAGCCACCTGTCCCGCCAGAACCTCGCCCCCTTTCCGTTCCTTATGTTCCAGACTGTGGCATCTTGTAGTTTGTGCCACGCCCTTAATACACCCCGCCACAAGTTCAAAATCCGCCCAGTCCTTCTAGGCACAAGTCCCACCTCAGATCTCTTTGTATACTTACTCAAAACCACCTTCCCCCAAAGGTCGTTCATTTGGCTCATAGGAAAAGGAAGTAGGACAATGAAGGATCTTTTTTAGTTTTTTTTCTTTCATTTGGCTCATAGGGATGACAATTTGAACCCACACTGATCCGCAGTAGCATTTGGCGGGGTTGCATATCAACTTCCGATCCGTCCTGTTCTTGGCCCATTTTATCTCAATTTCTTATGTTATCTACTCATATTTCTCATATTTAGACTTTTCTTCAACTAGTTAGACTTGATCTTTCAACTAGTTAGACTCAATTACCCATTCTATTATCACTATTTTTTATTCATAAAGTGTTTTTTCCTATAAAATTTGCGTATATTTTTTTCAAATAACACAAGAGAAAAGCCCAATTCGGGCCCAAATTGGTGGAGAGTGACATTTAAATGGGCTACGTGTATTTAAAGTTAAAACGCAGAGCAACATTTAAACGAGGTGGAATTGTCAGAACTACCTTTCCGTGAAGCTCTTTATGGACAGTAAATTCAAAATGCTGCAATTTGGAGTAGTGAATCTGCTTTATAAATTTTATAGAAGATGTAAGAGTTGGTTGCCTTGTCCCACCCAATATTCACGTAAATGTCATCCGCCCCGACCCGTTATAATGTAAGACGGGACATATAAATATTAAGGTAACCACCCTATCTCACCCTATTGCCATCACTATTGGCTTAGTGACGCTTACGCACCACTCAGAAACCCAGAGCCAGCCAGCCGGCGAAACCCACACCGAACCATAGAGCCCCTCCACCTTCGGCCTAATTTCCCGTTCCGGCCTATTAACCCTCTTTTCTTCCTCTCGAGCGGCCACCTTCTCTAATAAAATCTCCACTTCTGCTTCTTCTTCTTCTTCTTCTTCCTCTTCGCCCCTTTTATAAAACGGCCCAATCCTTCTCTTGTGGCTTTCTTTTCTTCTCTCTCCGACCCTTCTTCGCTCCCATCGTTCGTTCCTCTGTCTCCCTCACTCCACCCGGCCCTATCTATCTTTCTCTCTCTTGTATTTCCGCGTTTCGTTGCTGCCCCAATCTCATCGTCACAGATTCGCTCTTCGATCCCCCAACTGGTAAGTCTTCTCTCCCCTTCTCGTTACTAAGCCCTAATTTGCCGCAGTCCTCGCTCTTCGATCGACAACAACGACGGGGATCCCTAATTTCTCTTCTCCGGTGAGCGAAGCTCTTTTCCTCCCGGGTCGTTGATACCCGCTGCGTTTGACTTGTTCGGTCGAGATTTCCCGTTCTGCATGTCTGATTCTAGATTAGGATTTTTTTTTTCCCGCTCGGGTCTGTAGATAATCTGGGTGAAATTCTGATAGCAAGCCTTATCTGGATTTTATTATCTCTTGCTTCTCCGTGTGCCGATAGTTTTTGTTCCGCTAAAATTCTTAATCTCGATCTACAATTTTGCCGTGACGGTCGTTGATGGGTACTCTGGATTTTTCTTTGTTCGTGTTTCCTTGTTTAGTGAGGTGTGATGTATTGAGTGAGTGTTGAGTTCCCAGGGTTTGATTGTCATGATCTGTTTTGGGAATCACGAGTCTGGGATGTGATCAGATTGATGGGGATATCTCTAGGGTTTTCTCGTTGTGGGGGGTCTTCTGTGCGAGTGAGACTTGTACATAGTGTGACTTTAGGAAGGTGAATGTAGTATACGTGAAATGCCTAAATTGAGGGTTGATTGAGTTTTACTGTCTAATGGCAGCACTAAGAAGAGGAATTACCGAATTTCAGAGAATTCTGTGCATCTTACTCGTGTAAATGGGGTTTTTGGAGCAGATTACTTACACGTTGCCAGTTTTTCACTTAGAGCTTTTTTCTTTGTGATCTAGGTAACCATGAGTGACGAGGGAGAGAAGACCTGCCCACTCTGCGCCGAGGAGATGGATCTGACTGATCAGCAGTTGAAGCCTTGCAAATGTGGCTATGAGGTTTTGCTTTTGTACCTTGAATACTTGGACAATTTCTTTGTTCATGCATGCCATAATAAGTTGATCTGCCACTCTTTTCTAGATCATATCCGTGAAATTGTAGAAGCGCATTTGAAATGTATAGACTTCTCTTTGTGGATTGTTAGCCATGAGAATTTGATTATTTTGCTTTCAGTGTTTGTCTTTCTGAAATCATGCCTCTGCTTTCCGCCTAAAGGCAGCAGCTTTTTTTATGAAGGCGGTGGTAATGATCTTTTCGAAGTTAAAATTCTTATTATCAGCTTCTTATTGCTCACTGGTGGTTGTTGGAGGGTTAAATCGAAAATGTAGCTTTCTGTTATTTGTAATTATCCTGTTTCTGGTTTGGCTATGTGGATGGGGAAGATTATTGTTCTACTCTTTGAGGTGTCAATCGATCCATGCATGCGTGTTGTGTTCATCTGGTTCGCTGTTATTCATTTCCATCCACCAATCGGTATTTGATTAGAAATGGATTCTCTTTGCTGTAGATATGTGTTTGGTGTTGGCATCACATAATGGACATGGCTGAGAAGGATGACTCAGACGGTCGGTGTCCTGCATGCCGCACGCCATATGACAAGGAGAAGATAGTAGGGACTGGACCGAATGAGAGGTGTTTATATATATCATCTGTGTTTTCCAGTCGGTATTGCTGTACGTTTGTTGCTGATTTGGAATGTACAATATTAGATTGGTAGCTGAATTCCAAGAGCGGAAGAAGTCACATAAGTCAAAGTCGAAACCATCTGACGGGAGGAAGCAGCTCAGCAGTGTGCGGGTGATCCAACGGAACCTTGTCTATGTAGTTGGGCTACCTATGAACTTTGCAGATGAGGATGTAATGTCTTCCTCTGTGTTTTTCAATTAATTTTTGTCAGCTCCCACTTCCTTCACAACCCATCCTTTTATGTACATCGTAGAAAGAGTTGGGTCTAACCTTTTAATATCTTTTGTTAAGCAGCTACTCCAGCGACGAGAATATTTTGGTCAGTACGGGAAAGTGTTGAAGGTATCAATGTCGCGGACAGCAGCGGGAGTCATTCAGCAGTTTCCTAATAATACTTGTAGTGTGTAAGTTTAAGTGTCTTCTCTGGAGTACTGTCTAATTTTAGCTTAACTGGGTCTTTTACTTTTTCAATCAGTTACCAAATGGAGATTACAGTAAGAACCTCCAATCCACCAATTTATATGATTCCGTGATTTCTGATAAATTTGAAATTTAAGAACAGTAACTTCTTATGTCACAAATGTATGTAGTCTGTGTGGTCCACAGCTTCTGTTTGATAAATATTTGTCCTTACACTGCTATGGTTTTCATCTGGATCCTAATATCTGACAAATACCTAAATGTCATTGTATGTAGATATATTACTTACGGAAAGGAGGATGAAGCAATTCGTTGTATTCAATCAGTACATGGATACATGTTGGATGGTAGACCATTGAAGTATGTACTTGTTTAATCTGAATAATATATTAATTTGAATTTTTGTGTGGTATGCATGCTAATACTGCTGATGTTTTTTCAGGGCATGCTTTGGAACCACAAAGTACTGTCATGCTTGGTTAAGAAATGTGGTATGTGCTACAAATGCTCTAGCTGCTGCTTGTTTATTCTTGACTTCTTCTGACATGTTAAGTTTGTTTGCAATTTTAATATGAAGAAATTTCTGTTTGGATCCAGCCCTGCACCAATCCTGATTGTCTATACTTGCATGAGGTTGGATCTCAAGAAGATAGTTTTACAAAAGATGAGATAATCTCAGAGTATACAAGGTATAGTGAATGTATTTTCATTCGACTTGCTGATTGCTATGGTTATGGTTGGAGAATTTAGTATGCTCTATGAAAGACATTGGTGAACGTTAGCTATCAATTCAGCAGATCATTTATTATGTTATTTCATCTCTTAGAGTATAAACTAATGGTTTTTAGTACTCATGCTCCTGCCGTTGGGCTGCTATTTGATGTGTAACTGCTTCATGGTTCTTAAAGGAGTAGGGTGCAACAGATCACTGGCGCCACCAGTAATTTGGTTCGACGTGCAGGGAATATGTTGCCACCTCCATCCGATGAATATTCTTACAACACTTCGGCCTCTGCTGCAAGACCCATCGTAAAAAATGCAGTAAATGTAAGTTTTTGTGTTATTAGAAAGATATAGCAGTCAAGTGTCTGTTTTCTTTTGAAAAAATTTGTTGTGATAACCAAGTCCTGCATAAAGAAAACATTTGATGTGATGGCCAAGTCTTGCTTTTACTGATTTAGACGTTTATCTGGTTCTGTCCTGCAGAGTGCAATGGGTAGTAGTGGCAAGAGTTCGCCACCTAATGGGAGCTGTAGTAGATCTGGTGCTCTTCCAGCTGCGGCTTCATGGTATGCTAGTAACATTAATGTCCAGCAGTGGGTTTATTACATATATTTATTATCCTGAAATGCTGTTTTGCAGGGGAATGCGCTCTTCTAACCAGCCACAAAATCTAACATTTTCAAATGGCCCTCCTGTGCTGAAGCCTGATACAGCTGCCAGCACTGTTGGATTTTCATCAGCTTCAATTCAGTTTTCTGCATCACTTGGTGGTACAGTGAAAAAGACCAGTTGGAATGAAGATAGTCAACCAATAATAAGTAAATGCAAACCCGATTTATTAGGACCTATGAAACGGTTGCCTGCTAGTGACTCCCCTCCCATTGTGCCTGAGAAAGCATCTTTATATGATACCAGTGCGAATATTCACTTAACTAAAGACTGGGGAACAGCTGAGGTCTCAAGTGTGAAAAGTTCTCTTATGTCCCCTCAGTCCTCAAGTCATGAGCAAGATGAGCTTGCTATTGCAGATGAGAAGATTCCGGGTTCATGTTCTGAAATGTCTTCAATAAGGATTGGTGGAAATGATACCTCAGGGGCAATGAGTAGAACTGGCAGCGTGTTTCCAGAGAACAGTGTGTTCAAATCTCCTAGTGGTCAGCAACAATATGTTGAGCAATGTGGAGGCTCTTTAGCTTCTCCAGCAAGTGAGCCTGCTGCTAATGGGGTATATAATTCTAGAGGAGAAAAAGATTGGAGAATGGATCCACAGACTGAAGCAGTTCCAAGCAGCGAATGTGAGCTGGAAGAAGATGTATTATCATTTGATAATCAGAGACTGACGGATCCAGAGGTTGTCAGCCGTTCATTGTATTTGCCAAGTTCAGTGAACTCTCTCCAGACAGCAAACAGTTCCTGGTCTCATTCTTTGCAGCATACCGATGCTTTAGCTACTGTTGATGCAAATGCTGATTCTTTATTCTTAGATCATAGAATTGGTGATCGTCCAATGAGACACATGCCTAGCAATGCTGCCTTTCCAAATGGATACACTGAAACATTGATGAATAGTTCTACTGGGTTGAGTAGACTTGCAGAACAAACTCTTTTCCCTCCTGGCCAAGATGAACGGGAGCACTTGGGAAGAATGCAAAGTGACGGTGATGGTAATGTGATTCTAGATGCTGGAGAGAGTAGCATAATTTCAAATATACTATCTCTAGATCTGGATGGATGGGATGAATCAATAACTTCCCCGCAAAATATGGCTAAACTATTGGGTGATACAGATAAACAAACTAGTTCTCTGAAGATGTCTAATTCCTGGAAAGCTCAAAGTAACGGGCAGTCTAGGTTTTCTTTTGCTAGGCAGGAGGAATCAAGGAACCATGCATTTGATATTGATCCGTCCTTTATTGGGCTTGGACAAATGCCAAGGAATCATTCATTCAATCATGATCTCCTGGAAAATAGAAATTCATATTTGGATAAGCATGGGTTGAGTAATGGTTTCTCATCAAGTAATATGGACGATTCAGAATCCTCTCTTGGTGGCAATTCAGCTTTCTCTTCCAGTAAGCCTTCCGGTGAGTATTTACCATGGTGATTTGTTGATTTCTTGTACATATACCTTTTGTGGTACCATTTAGATAATAAGAGATGCTTCTAATTATGTTTTGTCAATGATTTCGATGTTGTATCTGGATCTAGTTTTAGCTACGTAATCTGAAACATGATGTTTTTTTTCTTCTTTCCAAATGTTATTCAGTTGACTTGTATTTTGCTGTATACAATGCCTCATGCACTTTTGTTGTGTTGGATATGGATTAGATTGTTATGATGAGCTGCTTTTAAAGTTTACTAACCATAGTTGATTCTCCATATATCAGTTTTGCGATCTCAAATTTCGGCCCCACCTGGGTTTTCAGTGCCTAACAGAGCACCGCCACCAGGCTTCTCTTCTCATGAGAGGGTGGAGCAGACTTTTGACAGCATCTCAGGTTAGGCTTCAGCCTCTATTGCCATGTTCATCGGGTCATGGTGGTGGTTCGCTTGTTCGCATTTGTAATTATCATTATCTGTGCTACAGGAAATCATTTGTTCGACTCGTCTTCCTTGCTTAGAAGCTCATACAAGGCTCCAATGAGTGGAAGCATGGGAAGCACAGCTGACATTGAATTCATAGATCCTGCAATTTTAGCTGTTGGCAAGGGGAGACCTCAAGGGGCTTTTAGTAATAATAATAGCCCTGGTTTAGACATGAGATCAAACTTTCCACTACAGTATAGCAGTTTTGAGAATGAGGCCAGACTACAGCAACTAATCATGGAAAGATCTCTTCCTCAACAACAACAGAACCTACGATATGGTGACCTTGCGGATAACTTCTCTTCTTCACTCGCTGACTCTTATGGCCTTTCTTCAAGGATGGTGGATCAGTCTCAACTGAACAACTTGTCCCCCTTTGCACAACTGTCCGTCCCACAATCTAGGAGTAATGGACTTGTGTCAAATGGGCACTGGGGGGATGGCTGGAATGAGGTTCAGGGTGGTGGGAACAATTTGGGTATGGCAGACCTACTCAGGAGTGAGAGACTGGGCCAGTTCAACAATTTCTACACCTCTGGGTACGAAGATTCAAAATTCCGGATGCCTAGCTCTGGTGACTTTTACAACAGGACGTTTGAGATGTGAAGCAGTAGTGAGAACATATGAAGATGTTTTGCCTGGCTAGCACATGGCTGAGAGGTGTAGAGGGGGGAGATGGATAAGATGATCTGCTTAACAACTACGTGGCCGTTGTACTGAAGGATTGGACTCTACAGCTTTGACATGTTTGGGTCTTAACTGGGCAGCCTTATGAAGGACCAAAAGCTCCCGACCCGAGGTCTAGAAGGCAGCAGGTGTGATATGAATGAATGCCCTCTTAGGGGAAAGATTTTGCCCTTTGCTCCCTGCAATCCCACGAAACTGCTCTATCATCTAAGCAGTATTCATTGTGCTTTTTCTTTTCGTCGCAGGTCATGTAAGCTTGTGGAGAAGAACATCATTGCTGTAGTTGATTTGGTGCCTTGAAGCGGCAGGGGGTGCGTGCATACTACTACCTAGAGAAGTTGGGGCAAAGGTTGTTAACCTTATAGAGTTGTTGACTGTCCCTTCTTTTCTCCAGAGTCTTGGTTCTGTTTCTTTTTTCCTGTGATGAGTTTAAATAGGAATGTATTTGGTTGATTTCTCCGTCTGGGTCGCCAACTGAATATAGAGTTTGACTTGTGGAAGAGGCTAGTCTCCCTGTCTTCCCCACTCTCCCTGGTCTCCATTTGTACGCTTTTGACTGCCTTCCCGATTATTGTTACTAACTGCAAGTATTAGATACAAAAGTGGGGGAAAAAGATGTTTCAACTTGCAACCCTCTCGAGTTCCAGCTTCTGCATCGTCTTACTGCTTGAATCTGTTGTCTGGATGCTGTGGGTGGTCTCTCGGCCGATTCATGTTGGAAGTTCATAATAGCTAAATCTCCAACTTGATTGTCTGAAGTATGTTGGAATCGAACTCTATTATCCAAAGATAGATAGAGCCAACTTCGCAATCGAGAAGCTTTAGGTTGGTCACCATTGATTTTATGCAACGGTGATGTTTGCGCATGTATAACATCATGTATTTATACACAGGAAAACTAATAGTGATAACCTTGAACGAATTAGACGATAATTTCTAGTAAAATCTAATGGTAATAATGTTACAGTGTAGTTACGAGTTGAAACATCTTTCCATTTGAAAAGAAGACTCTCAGATGATCACTAAATGGGAATTTGCCACTTTTCATTAGGTTTTAAAAATTTAGCTACTGTAATGCAAGGTAAAAAATATATAGGTGGCAATACATTATTTTACCCAAAAAAATAGGTCCTATTTGTTAAAAAAAATTAGGTACTAAAGTGTAAGAAAAAAACAATTTTGCATTCCAAAGTGTAATTTTAAAAAATAAGTTTGTTGAATGAACCGACTCGCTGACCCGACCCACCCCGACCCTAGAGAGTCCGACAAAGTTGAAAGAAAAACAAAAACAGGAAGAATCAGAGATAATAAGTTGGAGCCCTTCTAGTGTGCTCTATAGCACCCATGCTATAAAAAACCAAAAAAAAAAGGTGACCTGTTGAGGAGGTAACCCACTAAATGACTGGTCCCACATCATTAATGGCAATCTTGTAAATAATGAGTCAATGTATACAAGTGTAGGTACAAATTAGAGTTGTACCATATAGTATAGGTACAAGTTTCAGCTGTACCATTGAAGAATTTGTTTCACAAAGTGTAGGTACAACTTAAAGTTGTACCATTAGTATAGGTACAATTTTTAGTTGTACCATAAAGGGATTTGTTAGAAAGTGTAGGTACAATTTAAAGTTGTACCATGGTATAGGTACAAGTTCGGGTTGTACCATAAAGAATTTTAAGAAAGTGTAGGTACAACTTAAGGTTGTACCATTAGTATAGGTACAATTTTGAGTTGTACCATAAAGGGATTTGTTAGAAAGTGTAGGTACAACTTAAAGTTGTACCATGGTATAGGTACAAGTTTGGGTTGTACCATAGAAGGATTTTTAGGAAGTGTAGGTACAACTTAAAGTTGTACCATAGTATAGGTACAAGTTTAGGTTGTACCATAGAAGGATTTTGAGAAAGTGTAGGTACAACTTAAGGTTGTACCATTAGTATAGGTACAAATTTGAGTTGTACCATAAAGAGATTTATTAGAAAGTGTAGGTACAATTTAAAGTTGTACCATTAGTATAGGTACAATTTTTAGTTGTACCATAAAAGGATTTGTTAGAAAGTGTAGGTACAACTTAAAGTTGTACCATGGTATAGGTACAAGTTTAGGTTGTACCATAAAAGAATTTTGAGAAAGCGTAGGTACAACTTAAGGTTGTACCATTAGTATAGGTACAATTTTTAGTTATACCATAAAGGGATTTGTTAGAAAGTGTAGGTACAACTTAAAGTTGTACCATGGTATAGGTACAAGTTTGGGTTGTACCATAAAAGAATTTTGAGAAAGTGTAGGTACAACTTAAGGTTGTACCATTAGTATAGGTACAATTTTTAGTTGTACCATAAAGGGATTTGTTAGAAAGTGTAGGTACAACTTAAAGTTGTACCATGATATAGGTACAAGTTTGGGTTGTACCATAAAAGAATTTTGAGAAAGTGTAGGTACAACTTAAGGTTGTACCATTAGTATAGGTACAATTTTTAGTTATACCATAAAGGGATTTGTTAGAAAGTGTAGGTACAACTTAAAGTTGTACCATGGTATATGTACAAGTTTGGGTTGTACCATAGCTGGATTTGGAGAAAGTGTAGGTACAACTTAAGGTTGTACCATTAGTATAGGTACAATTTTGGGTTGTACCATAAAGAGATTTATTAGAAAGTGTAGGTACAACTTAAAGTTGTACCATAGTATAGGTACAAGTTTGGGTTGTACCATAGAAGGATTTTTAGAAAGTGTAGGTACAAATTAAAGTTGTACCATTAGTATAGGTACAAGTTTGGGTTGTACCATAGAAGGATTTATTAGAAAGTGCAGGTACAACTTAAAGTTGTACCATGGTATAGGTACAAGTTCGGGTTGTACCATAGAAGGATTTTTAGAAAGTGTAGGTACAAATTAAAGTTGTACCATTAGTATAGGTACAAGTTGTTAATATATTTTCAAATTCAGTAGTTTAGCTGCATGTAGCCCACACTAGTGCATCATCATATTCTAATTGGAAAACATACAAGCACAAACGCAAACACACATAGCTAAGTACTAAGGACTTTTGTTGGCTCATCTTCACTGCCCATCTTCCTCGTCAGTGCTCTCGTCCTCGTCTTCGTTTTGATGGATTTGCTCATCTTCATTGTCCTCGCTAGAGTCACTGCCCTCTTCCTCATTGGTCCCTTTGTCATCTTGAGTTCTTTCCTTGTTTTGTTCATTGCCATTTCCCTCGTCGTCCTCCTCTTCACTGCCCTTTTCCTCATTGGTCCCTTTATCCTCTTGATTTATTTCCTTGTTTTGATCATCGCCATTGCCCTCGTCGTCGTCCTCTTCACTGCCCTTTTCCTCATTGGTCCCTTTGTCCTCTTGATTTCTTTCCTTGTTTTGATCATCGCCATTGGCCTCGTCGTCGTCCTCTTCACTGCTCTTTTCCTCATTGGTCCCTTTGTCCTCTTGATTTCTTTCCTTGTTTTGATCATCGCCATTGCCCTCGTCTTCCTCTTCACTGCCCTCTTCCTCATTGGTCCCTTTGTCCTCTTGATTTGTTTCCTTATTTTGTTCATCGCCGTTGCCCTCGTCGTCCTCTTCACTTCCCTCTTCATTGCTTTCCTCGGTTGGCCTAGGAGATAGTTCCCAAGGTGTTGAGAATTTTTTGTAGTCAATCCTCAAGGACCTCATGATGTGATGGTTGCATTTGATGATGTAGCGTCGAGCTTCCTTTTCTCGATCGAGGCGGGAGAGAATGAGTGCATTTTGCTCGAGAATTTGGGCATTCTGCCGACCCAATGCCTCAAAATGGGAAATGTATCTGTCGGTGGATGGTCCGGCTTGAGTCGTAGTTTGGTGATGTTGTGCAGGTTGTTGCCGAGACTCCTCGACCATTTGCTGAACAACATGCTCCGATGCGTTTGCCTCATCTGTTGCAAGAGGTGGAGCAGGATGAGGGAGGCCAACAATGCCTAACACACCATTCTCCTTAACCACCAAACACAGACATGATCAATATCAGAAGCATTAGTTACATTTGCTCAATGTTCAAAAGGAACTAGATTAGCAGGCAATCCAAAACTTGCACAAAATCAATCCTAGATTGTTTGAATCCCGACTAGTTCTGTTTTAGCATTCACTGTGAAAAGGAAAGTGTTGGTTGGAACATTTACCTTTGACAACAAATATAGATCCGCAAGGTTTTTTTGGGAGATTGGTTGAGTGGACTGGGCAATGGTGCAATGAGAACCCACCGGATCAATGCCAAAATGCCGAGCTAGCCTTGTGATGTAGGCACCTCCATGGATGGTCTTGATTTGTTTGTTGGAGGTCATCTTCTGTAGGGTTTTCAGTACTAAACCAAGATGAATTGGGGGATCTTTTACCATAGAGAGGAAAAAGTTCAAATCCCGCTTGGTCACACTCCCCGGGCTACCCTCCCTAGCTGCCACAGAATGAGCGATAATGTTGTGGATGATACGCCATGGGGGAAGAATATCATTCCCTTTATAGTGGGCAGTGTCAGACTTGTCCACATGGTTTTGTTTTACCCTTTTCCACATAGCATCGACCAATTGTGCTCTTGGTGAATATACTTTCTCTGAAATCAAACCATGACCTGTAGTGAGAAATCCTGGTGGGTATATCTGGAGTGCCTCTGTGAACTCAGTGATGCTCATCTGTCTCGCCTGTCCTCCAAGGCGAAAAGTTATGTTGTCTTCGGGCTTGTCGAGGTGAAATTCGCACATAAACTTGATGGAGAGAGTGCTGAGGAACTCAATGGTAAGCTCTCGGTAGATGACCTCATTGATGGAGAGAACCTCACCCCATGCCGGGAGATGGAGGCATGTGCGAACGGGGTCCGCTGCTCCGAGGCCCTCTAGGAGATCCCAATCAATGCATCTTTGCTGCCCAAATGGGAGGGGAAGGAAGCGCTCTAAAGCCCTCCTATGTTTGTCGGGTAATTGGAGGAAGCCGTGAAGTCCCCCTCCTCCAAGTTGAGCCTCCGTTTGTGGTGGTGGAGATGGTTGACGTGCTCGTCCTTGGTTGTTTTTGCGTTGTCGTTTGGGGGGAGGCTCTCGTTCTTGGGTTTGGTGGCGACGACGAGAAGGAGCCTTCACTTTAGCAGGTGAGGCTGATGGTTGCGTGGTTTTTTGTTTAGCTTTCCCCATTCCTACAAAAACCAACTAAGCACATTAAGTCTTTAGTGAATGAGAGGGAAAAGAATTATGCATAAGCATATGCAATTCACAAAGAGACGTCTACACCCTAAAAAAATGCAACAAACCAGGAGCATTCTAATCCCAGGAGCATTCTAATCACAATTAGGAATTCAAAACCCTAATTCAGACCAACCAGGAGCATTCTAATCACAATTAGGAATTCAAAACCCTAATTCAGACCAACCTTGGGCAACTAAACCCTAAAAAATGCAAGAAACCAGAGAAGATTGCCGCTGTGGTTAAGAAGAACTCACGAAGTGGAACAGAGGGCAGAGACTCGTGGGGAAATGGTCGCCGTCGCCGCTGAACCTTGGAGCAGTTACCAGAGTCGTGGGGAAGTGGTCGGCGGCGGAAGAATCTTCGAGGGCGAGCGAGCGAGTGCGACCGATCGAGGGCGATGGCGAGCGAGTGAGGGCGAGGCTTGGGGGGTCGAAGTGCGATGGCGAGCGAGTGAGAACAGAGGGAGTAGAGTGAGAACAGGGGGTCGGGGGAGAAGAGGGTTGGGGGTCGAAGTAGAACAGAGGGTTGGGGGTCGGGTTCAAGTAGAAAAGAGGATTTTAAAACAGGGTGCGGACCAATTTGAGGGTTCCATCTCACGGTTTTTCTCCCGGGAGGGATATAACCCGTGAAACACCCTGTCCGTTACAATTTTTTTAAAAACATTCTAACGGTATATCTACCGACCGTGAGGTTCCAGTTATGAGGCGTGGTTTTGGGTTTCAACTGTGACCATCTCACGGGTTAATCTCACGCCCGTGAGATTAACAGATGAGCC